AGTATAAATAACCAAAATTACTACTTAAGTAAAGTAAAAAAGTATTTGTACTTAGTTACTTGGGTCAGTGTATCTTTTGGTCATTCAATTTTAATTTTGGAAACGAGTATTAAAAAACATGAAACGAGCGGTTATTTGATTTTTGTTTTAAAACACTGAAATAAAAATTAAAATACAACGCGTTTCTCATTCTTAGTGTCAAAAAGGGATAAACAAAATTTTAAAAAATGATTTGAATTTCATTTGCTGTTTCAGATAGCAAAAAAGAAAATTACTTTAAGACAGAAACGGAAAAAGGCTTGTTTATTTGTATTTTACGACTGTCAATTCCCCCACCACAGGGGGCACTTGCCTAGCAGCTCTGCAAAATGAAACACTTATTTCTGCAAATAAAAGGCTGAAACACAGAGAAATATGTCCATAAATGAGCTGTAATGACTGTTGRTCTTTGACCAAAGACTTTGCAGAGGTAATTCATGTGGTTTTTGGCCAAATAAGTCTCTTTTACTKAATACATGCCGGCTACTGCCTCCACTTCACCTCCATTTCTCTCAATAAAAAGCAAAATATGACAGATTACTGTAACCCTAAAATAATCTGTTTCATCACCAGAAGGCGTGTCTGCAATATGAAAGTTATTCGATAAACATCCCATTACAAGTAAAAAGCATTGGTACTGATCTCGGTATTGTTGTGTCTGGTTCGTTTCGGTTCTGCTGGGCTGTCGGTGAAGTGGACGTTCCCCGCTGGACCCCTCCGTCTCCCTCGTCGTCTGGTGGCTGCTGACGGCTGTTTGCTGCTTGCTGCTGAGTTTCTTTCCTGGTGGGTGGCTGGAAAATCAGCGCGTGTCTGCCTGTAAACTTGTTGACCGTCAAAAAGGCTCTTGAGCTAACACTTGAATGAAGAAAAGACTATATCTTCAGCTTCTGGACATGTTTATTCAGCGAGAGAGATGGAAGAGATCCATACAGCGTGATGGTAAGTGGGCTCTGAACAAAGGGCGCGCGTCCGCCTCGATGCTCGCTCACGCCTTAAAAGGGGCGGTACATGAAAATACACTACAGTCCCCCCTTCGATTCTTCAGAATCGACAAATAATCAAACATACATACATCTCACATAAAAGACACATTGTCCAGC